CTGGGTTTTATATTTTTTTTAAGTCGAGAAGCGATTCCTCATGACGCGTTCATTACAATACAAGTCATTCATTATTTAGCTCATATACTTTCAAACCTCACCAAAGCCTACGAACTAACCTCCGTTGTAAGGGTATAAATCAGTGTTGTAGAGCAGAGAGTTGTTGACCCTGCTGAAGTCGAAGCCCAGATAGAACTGCCTGTCGACCTCGGGAGGAAGAGTCGAGGGCGAGAGGGAGGCGAGGTCAGCCATGGTGACCTCGTTCTCCCCGTCCACGGAGTTCAGGGGGTTCACCACCTACGAAGATAGGATAGGTAAGTGGGTGAATAAATAAAGAGATAAATAATAAATGAATAAGAGTATACACACACACACACACACACACACACACACACACACACACACACACACACACACACACACACACATATATACATATATATATATGTGTGTGTGTGTGTGTGTGTGTGTGTGTGTGTGTGTGTGTGTGTGTGTGTGTGTGTGTGTGTGTGTGTGTGTGTGTGTGTGTGTGTTTATGATCATTAACGATCATTATCATTACTATTATTATCATTAGCATCATTATCATTCTTCTGGTAATTAGGAATAATTCTATCAACATGATCATTATTCATATCTTTACTTTCCTCATTATCAAATTATCCCCATTACCCTCACAATCATAAGTAATAGTAGAAGTAATACTCACAGTGCCTGGCGGGTAAGTAGGATCGTACTGAAGGGTGGCCGTTGGGACCTCCTCAGGGGCGCCTTCGTAACGCAGTATGGCACCTTGCACGCTCTCAAAGGGCCTGGACGAAGGATGAACTTGTGGTATTAAAGGCGTGTTGATGTGTCTTTATATACATATGTTTGTGTGTTTGTGTCTGTGTGTGTGGTATGGTGCGGGGTGTGTGTGTGTTTGTGTGTGTGTTTGTGTGTGTTTGTATGTGTTTGTGTTTGTGTGTGTGTGTGTGTATGTGTGTGTGTGTGTGTGTGTGTGTGTGTGTGTGTGTGTGGTATGGTGTGGTGTGTGTGTGTGTGTGTGTGTGTGTGTGTGTGTGTGTGTGTGTGTGTGTGTGTGTGTGTGTGTGTGTGTGTGTACGTGTGTATATGTATGTGTGTTTGACCACGCGTGCGTGCGTGCGTGTTAACATGTATTTGTAGGTGGACGTGTCCGTGTGCTTCTGCATGTGTTGATTCCCATGCACAATCTAATCACTAATTATCAAAGCAGACTCACCCACAGTCAATCAGTCCGTTGAATCGAATCCAATAGTTGTCCACGGGCTGATCGGCCTCGAGCACGACGTCGAACCTCTCTCCTGCAGGAGGCGGAGGTGGACATGTCGTTAGACAGACACGGACAATGGGAATATGTATAGATATCATGAAATCCGTTAAAAGTTATCAATAAACCGTGGAAAAAGGATTAAGTTCATATTATTGAACTATGCATTTGTCTTATATCATAACAAGAATAATGAAAATAATTAGGATGATAATGATAATAATAACAACGATATTAGTAAGAACATTAGTAAGGACAATAACGACAGTGATTATATGTTTTTTCTTATTATCAGTACCGCTTTCATCATTATCATCATCATCACTTAGATTTTTTCAATCTATTTCAAAAAGATCATACTATTTTGCTTATAAAGTCTTCTAATTAATACTGACTCCGTGGCAAACCTGTCTTTTATCCCAACTAGAAAGTTCCCTTCACATTTCTAAAGGTATTTTTGAGCGGACGAAGTACCGATTTAAAACACACAAGAGTCAGGAAATGAGGACCTGAGTATATGACGAGCGAATCCGTCGTGTAGGGGATGATCTCGGCGCCGTCGGTGGCAACGATGGTGAGTCTGTGGCCGTCGACGCTCACGATGATGGGGCAGTTGAGGCTCGTGGCGCTGACGAGGCGGACGCGGTGGCGCAGCCCGGGCGTCACGGTGACTACTTCCAGGGGCGTGTTCACGGCCTTCACGCCCTCGAACTGGGAGGAGGGAAGGCTGGGGGTTATTAAACAACCTGCGGGAAGGGAGGCTGAGGGGTTAAAGAGGGTATTGAGCAACCTGTGGAATGGGATGTTGAAGGATTGATGGAAATGCTATAAGGCCTTTGCACTTGCCAGAAGGATAGCACACACACACATGCATGCATATATATATATATATATATATATATATATATATATATATATATATATATATATATATATATATATATATATATATATATATGTATATACATACATATATATAAGCATATCATATATATATATATATATATATATATATATATATATATATATATATATATATATATATATATATATGTATATATATATATATATATATATATATATATATATATATATATATATATATATATAAGCATATATATATATATATATATATATATATATATATATATATATATATATATGTGTGTGTGTGTGTGTGTGTGTGTGTGTGTGTGTGTGTGTGTGTGT